TGCCGGTAAATACTATAATACGCGCTAGCATTCACGCAACATGCCGACATATGCGAAAGATTAATACCCTTCCGCTAATCGGCACTGATTCAGGTTGTGATACTGACTATAGTGTAGTCTATTCTGAAGTTATTTCAGTCAGGATAAGATGTCGGCTTTTTAAAGAACTTATTTCTAACCTCTAACAAAAAGTATAAGCAGCAAAAAGTAACTACTTAAATAGTATGCGTTTTTATCATTGGTTTTGACTGCCTTCATAAATTCAAATATATTTTATGGAAAACGTACACGAAAAAAATTAGTTATTGTACTGGTTTGGTAGCAAATTACGCCTTGTTTAAATGTTATACTTAAAGAAAGGGTATCCTTCGGTTTCGAGAAAGTTTCTAATTATGAACTTTTTTGCGATTGTGAGGTGTTCATTCCTAATACATAGTATCCGTCCATTCATGAATGCTTCCTTTACTGTATAAAGCATGTTCTACACCTATTGCAATATTTTATGAGAACTATGTGACTTCTTCCTCAAACTGTAGGCGAAAACGTACTTTTCCTTAAACAAGATGAACACAGTGCACAGTCTGTATACCTTGAATTTGAGTGCAGCAGTCAGTAGGTTTAAAAATTATTCGGCAATTTATAAACTTTTTTGAAACCAACAGATACCCCTCACTTACGCATCAAATTTAAAGAAGGCGTGATTTTCTACCAAAAGAGTACAAGAATTAATTTTTCGTGCATGTTTTCCATCAAACATATTTCATTTATAGAGACAGTCAACATAATTGATAAAAACGCATACTATTTAAGTAGTAACATTTTACAGTACATGGGTTTTGTTAGTGATCAGAACGAAGCTCAGTAAAAAGCTCGCATCTTCTCATGACTGAAATAACTCCAGAATAGACTGCACGATAATCAATATCACAACCTGAGTCAATGCCGATTAGCGAAAGAGTATCAATCTTCCACGTATGGTGGCATGTTGCACGAATTCTGGCGCGTACTGTACATATAGAAAACTGCCGGAATGTATATCAAGACGCACAACCTACCGCGGGAGGAGAAAGAGAAAAAACTAGGGTCCTTGGGATGGATATTGTAAAAAAAAATAGTCGATAGTCAGCGTGGCCAATAGCAGCCGAAAATATGCGCTAACCGGTGGGGCTGACACAGAAACAGGTCTCGGGGTCCTACTGACTGATAGTGCTGATACGCAATCTTGTTCGATTCTCGGCAAAACTTTCCGGCTCTGGCCAGCAGACAACATTCCGGATAGAGAGAAAAGGCATTGATCACAGGAAAGCTTTGACTTCCAGAGTAAACAGTCAATGTAAGAAGTACAAATTTTATTCATGTCACCAATCACAGTGAAATTCAGGAGTCCAGGTTCTTTATTCAGGCTTCGCAACCCAATATATACCCTACAACTGCCAAACGATGCAATTAACACTGACAGCTCGGAATGTTTGTTTGCTCCTAAACAATGCCATAGTCAACCGACCGTAAGGGAGTGCCACTCTGTTAGACCAGAAACTTACCTGTTACAAAATGGGCACTGCAGTTTTTAGTGAAAACCACTTCGCTAAAGAGAAACAACTGGAGGTGGTTGCCGGATGCACCTTTCTTCTGGGGCGAAAATTTGAACGC